ACACACATTGGTTGATCTTAACCACTCACCTATGCAAAGTAAACGTTCTCCTTGGGAGCTTGCATTAAAGAGGCAGATGGAAAAAAAACAGGGAGAGAGAATGTCAAGGACATCAGAAGTGGAGTGATATTGAAGCGGTGGTATTGATTGAGTATAAGCAGATGAGAGGAGAGCCGGGCTGTGTGATTCTGGCTGACAGATACATTGGAACGCCCTTAGCGCTTCACATATAGCAGCAGCACCAATCGCCCATGTACGCATACTAATTACACTTTGATACGGATTTCAGCTATGAAACCAAATCTTGAGCAGTCTGACTTTCTGTGGACAAGTCCATCCATCCATCCATCCTTCTATTCATTATCCATCAATGTGCCCACGACGAATCCATCCATATCCACCCGCCTGTCAATTTATGTAGCTTTCACATACATTAACAGGCAGCACACGTGTATATCTGTTCCCACTCTCCACCTTCATTTGCAACATCCACCAACCTGAATCTGACTTGACACATACTTCACATCCCACATGCATTAACATTCATTTAGTTATATAATGAAACAGGATGACACTGTGCATCAGTGTTCAATTCTTTCTGAAGTGTCTCTTACTGGACATGCTGAGAAGCTTTGTTTTACATCAAAAAAGGAAATGCCTGCAATCACAGCAGGAGACTGAAACTGAATTTATGATTACATTTTACATTGACAGCTATATATTTGCCATCATTATAATGATATCCTGGATCATATTGCTCCCAAAACCTGAACCAAACCATCATCTGCTATCCACTGCAAATAACCCTTGTGACTTGTCATATGAGGGAAAATTTGTGATTTCCTATTTGTCATAATGAATTTTAAAAGTTGTCTTTTATGTGAATTGGAGCTGCTTGAAAGATGAAAGACAGTTTCAAGTAATATCTCCTGTCCTCTCATCTAATGCTGTTTATTTTGAGCTGCTCTTTTGGGGGTCGTGGGGATTGATAAGTCACAATACGATGATGTATGGATCATGATCATGTATTTCTCTCTCTTCTTAATTCCTCTCATTTGTCTATTTCTTCTTCTCCCTGCTCAACTTCATCTCCTCTCATCTTTTTCTTCTCCTCTCATCTACTCACCATCTAATTTTCAAAGTAAAGAGCTGAGCGTCAGTCTGGTGTCACATGGGGATACAATGTGTGTTATGGTGTCTGTTTATTTTGGTTTTCAATGCAGATGTGTGTCCACCACCTGAGTTTTGATAATGACCACCTCATCATGTTGACATTATTTATGTCAACATTATTTATTATTTCATGTAATATTGCTTACGTGTTACCATAATGGTCACTATAACAAATAAACTAGTGAAAGGTAAATCCTTAAAATGTTTATAAAATATATGAATTATAAATTGAAAATGGTCCTAAATGTGATTTATAAATATCTTCCTTACTTTCCATTTTTGCCATTTTGTGGTGAAAACAGCCAGTAATTACTGTAAGTAATTGTAATGTTTTCTTGTATTGGTGGTTTTTTGTCTTTACCAACCTCTATGTATATCACCACATGCACCAAAAATAAAAATCATGCTATTTATATATTGTATATACAGTCTAATTTAGAGTTTTGGTTCTGCTGAGAGCATTGTTAGATCACAGCTGATGATGTAATGGTAACCTTGGTAACGTGGCTCTAGTAGCTGTTGTTTTTATGGCTGTCAAGACATTATGATGTTAATAAAGTTAGGTCATGCTGTGCAGGGCCTCCAGGCTTTGGTGCACCATGGGATTGATTGATGACTTTGTTGTCAGTTCAATCTAAGAAATGCACTGGAAAGGGGGAGGGGGAGGGATAAGTGTAGGACAGAAGTAGGGAGGGATGAAAAGGGGAGAACAAAATGGATTGGTTAGGAACCGAGAGCTCAAAGGAAGAAAGAAATGAAGTAAGTGAGCCTAACCCTAACCCTAACCCCTGTGGACAAAAGCTGTATTGTTTCAACTGCCTCTTTTTATTGATTTCAAAAGGAATCCGACTGAATTCAGGTGGCAGGCATTAAGAATAAGTATTTAGCTGACAGTCTTGTGTGGTTATGTAGTTCATATAAAGACATCAGTAGTAAATTGAGACTGTTCCATAACCAGCTAGAACCTCCTTGTTGTATGTTTAGAATAAGAGAAAATAATCAATGTTGAAAGATTAATGAAGAGAGTGAGGGCAAGGACAGAAATATGCTTTAGATTTGAATTAAGAGGGAAGGAAATTACTGAAAAATATTAGAAATGACAATGGCAAATAAAGATGGAAGGAAAGGTAAAGGAAGAAAGCAAGGATAGAGCCAAGTGAAGGAGTGAGATGGAAGACAAGGCTGACAAAGGAGTGGTGTGGGGCATTTTGTGTGACAAAAGGCTGTGTGAAAAAGTATGACAAATATGATATTCGAAATTGAGGAACTGTGGGGGAGGAGAAAAGGAGTTGAATTGAAAACCATGCATGGCTGTGACACAAGCACACATACAAGACAATAAATGAGGCAGTGACAGAAGTCAGAATGCTTACAGTAAAACACCAATCAGTAAATGCAAATAAAAAAGACACACACAAAAAAAGTGGCCACAGACTAATCATTGGCTGATTCACATTCTTGACCTTGAGAAACACCCATGAAAAAATTGATACACACACACACACAAATATAAATCTGCACCTATTGATGAGTTCGGTACATGCAGGAAAAATTATTAGCATTCCAGGGCGCCACAGAAAACTCCAGTACACACAGAATACATAACAGCACAGGTACACACACACTGCTATCGATTCTGTGTGGATGTTGAATACTGAGATAAAATGATCAGCAGCCCATTCCAATGCCCTATTCCACAGCAAAACCCAACTATTGATTTATATGCATTGTATCTGCACAGACAACAGATGCACCCAAAAAGCGAAACAGATGTACCAGCTGAGAATATTGCAGGATCATTTCTTCATTGTGAAAAGGCAAAACATCATTAATTCATTAGCCCACTTGACAAACATTAAGCCCTTTCCACTTGGCATTAATATGTGTCTCATATCCAGCTTGTGCCTAAATATAAATTAATTGGATTGCATTTAAACCAAATATTAAATGCATATTTGGTATGCACATTAAAAAGTGGCTTCATCCTTCCTTTGCCAAAAAAAAAGATTGTGATATATATCATATCCTTTCATCACCTATCTTAAATTGGATCTTAAATGCTCTGTTTGTCTTCTTCTCCATTCTTAACAAATATATTGCTCTGATAAAGTTTTAATCATTGCTACACATAGACACACTGAATTTAGCTTAGCAGCCAAACATATAACTGTGCACCTCCAGAGATGTTTTGGTTGATTGGGTCTTCATTGCATCTTGGGTGTATTTCTGATGTGTTTTTGCTCTGTCTGAGCAAGTTCAGTCACCGAATACATATGTTAATTCACATGGAAAATGGCTCCTCGAGTGTAAAAGAAAACATAGCACTGTGTTAGAATCTGTAAAACACCACCACACTGTAGAACTGGTTGGACTGATGTTGTTGGAGTGAGATCATTGATTATTCTGGAATTTAGGTTTTAGCCTATAACCGTTTTTGGTGAGATGCTGTTAATATTAACTGCTAAGTTACAAAGTAATTTAAGCCTTTTAAAAATATACATAAACTGGTGTATCAGTAAAATCAGTGTATTTGTATTATTAATTAGGATGGGAGAATGTAAAGTTTGGGCAAAACCAATAATATATCTGTAGTCAGATTATGCATTCGCATAATATCTATAACGCAATCTCAAAACACTCGACAGTAGTTTCATTTTACAACATTTAGAAGGTAGAACAAGACCTTTGGCTTTTGTGTCTGAGAAACAGGACCCATGTGGAGATACAGATAACAAGTTGATATTTGCCTCTGAAACTCTTGAAACAGGCCAAGTCTGCATTTTCTTTTATTTATTTTTTCTGCAGCCAAAGCAGAGTCAGCATTTTTGTTTTCCATCAAGGCTTGTTGGTATCATCATGTGAGACTATATGGAGAAAAAGCATTGCAAGGGGGGAAAAAATCAAGTTGGTGAGGTGTTAAGGTCATGCAGCCTCAGCAAATAAAGACATAATGTGTGTGTGAGAGAGAGACTGATAAAGAGAGAGAGAGGTGCAGAAGTGAGATAGGAAGTGAATTAGGGAGCGACAGGGGAGAGAGAGAGAATTGGAGGTACAGAGCGCAAGGTGAGTGAGAGAGAGAGTTAGAGAGTCTGAGATGGACAGAGATAGTAGTGCCTTGCAGCCAGTGTCCATATCTCTTGCCACCATTGACTTCTCCTGCTGCACTACAACTAATGGACTCTGTCCTCCTCTGCCATCTTATCTGCCCCCCTCTCTTTCTCTCTCTTTCTCTCTCCTCTCGCTCCTTTCTATCTCTTACTACTTGATGCCACTTCACCGCCTCACCTCTATCTAATTTTTATCATGCTTTGGTCTTTCTCTTTCACGCTCACCACTGCTCTCTCATGCCTTTCCTGCTATCTCTCACTATCTCATTTTCTAAGTTGTTCTGTTTTTCCTCTTTCCACCTGTTTAATACTGTTTCCATCTTCCCCACCACCAGGGACAATACCCCAAAAGTTCAACCTCTTCTCTCTCTCTCTCTCTGGCTTATCTTTGTCTGCACTGCATGGGTGGAAACGGGAGGAATAAATATGCTTTTTATCTTTGCGTTTTATCTTCTTTCTTTTTTTTCTCCTTAACATCTCCTTGGATGCTTGTCTAGCATCTGTGCAGAGCTGAACAATTGCAGATTTTCTACTCCAAAATAATAAAAAACAACAAGTTACAAAAATGTTAGTGACTCCAGCCTCTGTATAAAGAAGGAATACATTATATATTTCTGGGATTCACTTAAAAGCTGTGCACAGTGTGGAAGAGATCTCAAAATTGGATGTTTTATACATATGGGCCATTCTCACATATATTTTTCATGTTTGTGTCCCTTTCAGATGACCCAGGAGCAGTACATCCTTGCGGCGCAGCCCAACCCACTCCACCAGCGGGGGGCATCGGTTTGTGGTGCCCAGGTTTACCCAGCAGTGGGAATCTACGGCTGGAGGAAGAGATGCTTGTACTTCTTCATCCTACTCCTCCTCGTCACCATGATCGTCAACCTGGCACTGACCATCTGGATCCTCAAAGTCATGAACTTCACTCCGGTAAGAAGCGTTTGTGCAAATGTCATTAAAATGCCAGGGTGTTATATGGTTTTGTGGTTTATGGGAGAAAGCTATAAGATGTGGTTTAAAAGGTCTGCTGTAATGTAGCACAACATGAGAGTGATGATAAAATCAACAACGGTTCATCAGGAGTGAGTATGTGTGTGTGTGTGTAAAATAGTTGCCCTATAATATCAAGTGGATGTTGTCCTTGTGGTGTCCACTATTGATCGATAGGAAGACATATTTTTAGTTAAATTAATACTACACTGGTTAGCTAATTATAACTCTTATTAATTTATTAATATGAAATAACATTTGCAATTTCAGCAGTGTACTGAATTGTAACTGATGAATTGTC